CAGGACTTTTAAAGTGGAATCTTCTAGGAACATCCATGAGATAGGTATTGGGACACTGAGAATAGGAGGGGTGGCAAAAGCTATAGTTGGGACTCAGACCATATACAAGGATTTCTAAGGAAAATATCAGAGAAGGTAGGAGACTGGACAGATGAGTCCCTATGACAAACAAAGTTGGTGACCTGACAACTGGGTTACTGAAGGAAATGGAGAACCAGTCTATTTCCCAAGAGGTGAGATGGTTGACCTAAGACTGTGGCTGGGAGGGGTGACTACAGTAACACTTTGATTCTAGAAAATGAGCCAGGCATGAGTGATTCAAAATCAGAGACAGAAGAACCAGACATCAACCTCTAAGGGCCTTCCCCTACCTCCATGCCTTGCACCTTCAGTTTCATGTGGTCCTCTCGAGTGGTCTTTCCATCCTTCCGCTTCTTCCAGCAGTAGCCATCCTTCCGGTACTTTACCTTCTTGCGATTATAGAGGATGATGGAGCCATTCTGAGGCCTGAGGAAGCATAGAAGAAGGTAAAGTACCGGAAGGATGGCTACTGCTGGAAGAAGCGGAAGGATGGAAAGACCACTCGAGAGGACCACATGAAACTGAAGGTGCAAGGCATGGAGGTAGGGGAAGGCCCTTAGAGGTTGATGTCTGGTTCTTCTGTCTCTGATTTTGAATCACTCATGCCTGGCTCATTTTCTAGAATCAAAGTGTTACTGTAGTCACCCCTCCCAGCCACAGTCTTAGGTCAACCATCTCACCTCTTGGGAAATAGACTGGTTCTCCATTTCCTTCAGTAACCCAGTTGTCAGGTCACCAACTTTGTTTGTCATAGGGACTCATCTGTCCAGTCTCCTACCTTCTCTGATATTTTCCTTAGAAATCCTTGTATATGGTCTGAGTCCCAACTATAGCTTTTGCCACCCCTCCTATTCTCAGTGTCCCAATACCTATCTCATGGATGTTCCTAGAAGATTCCACTTTAAAAGTCCTGAATACCTCACCCCCTTCTTTTTTTTCTTCCCCTTGACTCTGTGTTATTTGGATTTAGGGGGAACCTAGGTTTATGGGGGGAGGGGGCAGGACTCATGGGGGAGACAAGTCATTTGAAAGGGACTAAAGAGAAGAGGTGGGAAGCAGCCTTCCCCTCCAACTATCTCTTGGCAGTGTCTCTATGGCTGCTATGTTCACTCCTCCATTGTTCCCACATTCCATCGTCGCTGTTACTGGCTGCTACAGGTATTGAGGGGATTGGGGAGTCAGATTCTTGGGCAGTTAAGAGGGAGTGGAGAGAAGAAAGACTGGGCTCTGAGAGGAAAGAAGTTGAGTTAGAGGAAAGAGGGTTATGGACTAAGAAGGCCAAACACCTGCGTATTTGGGAGGAATGGGAGTTTATGAGGGAGGTATAAGAGCTGAAGAGGCTGCTGGGGGAGGTGGAGGAGAACAGAATTCTGGGAAGGGAACTAAGTACTGTGGGGCGGAACATCTAGGTCCCAGTGTCCACTGGCACTCTGTGTCTACCATTGCTGCCCTCAGAACCCTGACATCGTCCTTGTGCACTACCTGAATGTCCCCGCCCTGGAAGATTGTGGGAAGGGCTGTGGCCCCATCCTTTGTTCCATCAGCAGCGATCGAAGGGAATGGCTCAAGTGGTCCAGGGAGGAGCTGGTGGGGCAACTGAAGCCCATGTGTAAGAACCCCAGAGTAAAAGTGGGTCTCAGGGTGCCCTCACAGAAGCTAAGACTACTGCTAGGTGCCTCTGGAGTGACCTGCTCTCCCTAGCTAATGAAGAGGTTTGATCCCTGGTGCTGCCTGTAGCTGAAGTGCTGGTGGATTCTCAGGGCCTTGTATTGCAGAAGTGGTGGGAGCAAGGGAAAGATGAGGACTACATATCCCAGGAATGCTCAGAACAGCTACCTTTTTTCCCAGGCTACTAGTCCCATGGCATCATGGGAGTTGTAGTCCAGTGAGGGAGAGAGGGACAGCAAGGGGAGTTTAGGGGCTGGATTTTCTTAGGTTCACACAGCAGGCCCTCCCTCCTCCCCTTTTCAGTTCATGGCATCAAGTGGAGCTGTGGGAATGGGGCAGGTGAGTTCTCAGTGGAACAGCTGGTGCAGCAGATTCTGGATACCCACCAGGCCAAGCCCTTGCCCCGTACCCATGCCTGCCTCTGCAGCGGAGGGCTCGGTTAGTGACGGGACCCAAGGGCTCCCTCTGACTCTGAGTTCTATTCCCCACTGGGGACACAAACACCCTTTATATTTGTTTGCATGCTAATTTATATATGTTTTCCACATTGTTTCCTAACAGTCCAGTGGGACTGAGGATTTCTTCTCTAGAACCCACCTTTTCTTCAGGAAATACCTTCCTAGGCTTTGGACCAATTTCTCACTCTGTCATTTATCTTTGTGACCCCTAGTTTCTGTGCACTATTCATGCATAGACATCAGCTCACTACCTTTTCTTTCTCTCCACCAGCCTGTTTACTTTCCCCTAGCAACCTTGCAATTTCCCTGTGCTCTTCTCCCTGCAGTGCCTGTCCAGCCAGAATTTGTGGCATCTCTGCTTCTCCCCAATGGCCACAGTCATTGTTACACATCTATCTATAACTCTCCACTGGAGAAAAATTGAAAAGTTGTCTTACTCTACTCCTTTTCTTTCTTCCCTACCCCATTCTTCACTACAGGTTCCACAGGGAGCCTACCCCACAAATGCAGCAATACCAAGCACCGAATCATCTCCCCTAAAATTGAGCCTCGGACCTTGGCCATACCCCCAATCCCACCTCCAAGACCCCCTGAACCCCTTCCACAGGCTCTCCCACCCCTTACTGAACCCCCTGACCTTCCCAAGGTTGATACCTCACCCTCTTCCTCTTCCTCCTCTTCTTCTGGCTTTGCTGAACCCCCTGAAATTAGCCCCAGACCTCCAGTAACTCCAGGAGGGCTGCCCAGGGCAGGACCTGCTCTCCTCCTCCTGACAGGTTTGGAGCAGCTCACTGGGGGTTTAACTCCCAGCAGGCACTTGGCTTCTCAGCCTGAGTTTGGGCCCTCCCTGGGCCTGGCCTTGGTCCTAAGCCCTCAGCCTCCTGCCCCACCTGGCCCTCCCAGTCCCGCCTTTGATCCTGATCGATTTTTCAACAATCCCAGTCAAGGCCAGACTTACGGAGGTGGGCTGGGGGTGAGTCCCAGTTTCCCTGAGGCAGAGGCAGCCAGAACACCTTGCACAGCCCTGGAACCTGCTGCTGCTCTGGAGCCTGTGACATCAGATCAACAGACTACTCCTAAGTCTGGAGAAGGAAGAGAAGGGAACCGATTCTTTATTCGAGATGATGCAGGTGGAACTGGACCTGCTATAGTCTCCTCATCCCCATCCATGGAGTCATCAGCCCGGCCTGGAAGAGGTGAAGGGCTGTTTGGAGGACCAGGGGGGACCAGTGAACTAGAGACTTTCAGTTTGTCTTCCTTCCCAGACCTCATGGGGGACCTGATCAGTGAGGAGGCTCCAGGGGCTCCTGGCCCTCCAGCTCTTAGTGTTATCACTGACTTCTCTCCTGAGTGGTCCTATCCAGAGGTGAATATCACATTCATTCATCATTCCTTCTCATTACTTGCTATCCCATTCCCACCCTGAGCCTAGCCCCTATTCACCCAAACCTAAGTTTCCCCAGTAACCATAGTCCTGTAGTCTGTGATCTAGATTCCTTAACTTCTCTCAGATTTTTATGGCATGTGGCCTATCTTGTTTTCCATGTTCTTTCTCCCTTAATTACCTTAATATATACAGGGTATCCCAAAAGTCTTAGTGCAGTTTTGAACTTAGATTAAAATTACACTAAGACTTTTGGGACATCCTGTATATTATCCAGAGGGCACCCCCATTCTCTGATGACTCTGTGTTTGGATGGGAATATTTGCTTGTTCACAGGGTGGGGTCAAGGTACTGATCACAGGTCCTTGGACAGAGGTCTCAGAGCGTTATTCTTGTGTCTTCGACCACATCCTTGTGCCAGCCTCACTTGTCCAGTCTGGTGTCCTGCGCTGCTACTGTCCTGGTATGGAGGAGTGGGAAGCACTGATCAGACAGGTCAGGGTGGCATAATCTCTAGATGTCTTATCAGGAGCTTCACCATTAGAGATTGGAGGCTGGAGACTTAATATGGGGAAACCTAGAAGGTCACCAAGGCTATATCTGAAATTAGTCTCTGTCTTTTTCTCCAAAGTAGCCAGGAGTAAGGAGGCAGCATTGGGCAATGGAAGGAATCCTGAACTTGGAGTTAGGAAATTTGGATTCTAGTCTCAGCTCTTCTTAGTCACTGTGTGCCTTAGCCAAGTCATTTAACTTATCTGAACCTCATTTTGTATTGTCTGGTCTCTAAGACCTCTAGATCTTTTCTCTCTTTTTCTACCTTGGATTAAAGTTGTCGGACCCCTTAACTCCATAGATGTACAAAGCTCGGAACAGTCTTAGAGACCAGACAATACAAAATGAGGTTCAGATAAGTTAAATGACTTGGCTAAGGCACACAGTGACTAAGAAGAGCTGAGACTAGAATCCAAATTTCCTAACTCCAAGTTCAGGATTCCTTCCATTGCCCAATGCTGCCTCCTTACTCCTGGCTACTTTGGAGAAAAAGACAGAGACTAATTTCAGATATAGCCTTGGTGACCTTCTAGGTTTCCCCATATTAAGTCTCCAGCCTCCAATCTCTAATGGTGAAGCTCCTGATAAGACATCTAGAGATTATGCCACCCTGACCTGTCTGATCAGTGCTTCCCACTCCTCCATACCAGGACAGTAGCAGCGCAGGACACCAGACTGGACAAGTGAGGCTGGCACAAGGATGTGGTCGAAGACACAAGAATAACGCTCTGAGACCTCTGTCCAAGGACCTGTGATCAGTACCTTGACCCCACCCTGTGAACAAGCAAATATTCCCATCCAAACACAGAGTCATCAGAGAATGGGGGTGCCCTCTGGATAATATACAGGATGTCCCAAAAGTCTTAGTGTAATTTTAATCTAAGTTCAAAACTGCACTAAGACTTTTGGGATACCCTGTATATATTAAGGTAATTAAGGGAGAAAGAACATGGAAAACAAGATAGGCCACATGCCATAAAAATCTGAGAGAAGTTAAGGAATCTAGATCACAGACTACAGGACTATGGTTACTGGGGAAACTTAGGTTTGGGTGAATAGGGGCTAGGCTCAGGGTGGGAATGGGATAGCAAGTAATGAGAAGGAATGATGAATGAATGTGATATTCACCTCTGGATAGGACCACTCAGGAGAGAAGTCAGTGATAACACTAAGAGCTGGAGGGCCAGGAGCCCCTGGAGCCTCCTCACTGATCAGGTCCCCCATGAGGTCTGGGAAGGAAGACAAACTGAAAGTCTCTAGTTCACTGGTCCCCCCTGGTCCTCCAAACAGCCCTTCACCTCTTCCAGGCCGGGCTGATGACTCCATGGATGGGGATGAGGAGACTATAGCAGGTCCAGTTCCACCTGCATCATCTCGAATAAAGAATCGGTTCCCTTCTCTTCCTTCTCCAGACTTAGGAGTAGTCTGTTGATCTGATGTCACAGGCTCCAGAGCAGCAGCAGGTTCCAGGGCTGTGCAAGGTGTTCTGGCTGCCTCTGCCTCAGGGAAACTGGGACTCACCCCCAGCCCACCTCCGTAAGTCTGGCCTTGACTGGGATTGTTGAAAAATCGATCAGGATCAAAGGCGGGACTGGGAGGGCCAGGTGGGGCAGGAGGCTGAGGGCTTAGGACCAAGGCCAGGCCCAGGGAGGGCCCAAACTCAGGCTGAGAAGCCAAGTGCCTGCTGGGAGTTAAACCCCCAGTGAGCTGCTCCAAACCTGTCAGGAGGAGGAGAGCAGGTCCTGCCCTGGGCAGCCCTCCTGGAGTTACTGGAGGTCTGGGGCTAATTTCAGGGGGTTCAGCAAAGCCAGAAGAAGAGGAGGAAGAGGAAGAGGGTGAGGTATCAACCTTGGGAAGGTCAGGGGGTTCAGTAAGGGGTGGGAGAGCCTGTGGAAGGGGTTCAGGGGGTCTTGGAGGTGGGATTGGGGGTATGGCCAAGGTCCGAGGCTCAATTTTAGGGGAGATGATTCGGTGCTTGGTATTGCTGCATTTGTGGGGTAGGCTCCCTGTGGAACCTGTAGTGAAGAATGGGGTAGGGAAGAAAGAAAAGGAGTAGAGTAAGACAACTTTTCAATTTTTCTCCAGTGGAGAGTTATAGATAGATGTGTAACAATGACTGTGGCCATTGGGGAGAAGCAGAGATGCCACAAATTCTGGCTGGACAGGCACTGCAGGGAGAAGAGCACAGGGAAATTGCAAGGTTGCTAGGGGAAAGTAAACAGGCTGGTGGAGAGAAAGAAAAGGTAGTGAGCTGATGTCTATGCATGAATAGTGCACAGAAACTAGGGGTCACAAAGATAAATGACAGAGTGAGAAATTGGTCCAAAGCCTAGGAAGGTATTTCCTGAAGAAAAGGTGGGTTCTAGAGAAGAAATCCTCAGTCCCACTGGACTGTTAGGAAACAATGTGGAAAACATATATAAATTAGCATGCAAACAAATATAAAGGGTGTTTGTGTCCCCAGTGGGGAATAGAACTCAGAGTCAGAGGGAGCCCTTGGGTCCCGTCACTAACCGAGCCCTCCGCTGCAGAGGCAGGCATGGGTACGGGGCAAGGGCTTGGCCTGGTGGGTATCCAGAATCTGCTGCACCAGCTGTTCCACTGAGAACTCACCTGCCCCATTCCCACAGCTCCACTTGATGCCATGAACTGAAAAGGGGAGGAGGGAGGGCCTGCTGTGTGAACCTAAGAAAATCCAGCCCCTAAACTCCCCTTGCTGTCCCTCTCTCCCTCACTGGACTACAACTCCCATGATGCCATGGGACTAGTAGCCTGGGAAAAAAGGTAGCTGTTCTGAGCATTCCTGGGATATGTAGTCCTCATCTTTCCCTTGCTCCCACCACTTCTGCAATACAAGGCCCTGAGAATCCACCAGCACTTCAGCTACAGGCAGCACCAGGGATCAAACCTCTTCATTAGCTAGGGAGAGCAGGTCACTCCAGAGGCACCTAGCAGTAGTCTTAGCTTCTGTGAGGGCACCCTGAGACCCACTTTTACTCTGGGGTTCTTACACATGGGCTTCAGTTGCCCCACCAGCTCCTCCCTGGACCACTTGAGCCATTCCCTTCGATCGCTGCTGATGGAACAAAGGATGGGGCCACAGCCCTTCCCACAATCTTCCAGGGCGGGGACATTCAGGTAGTGCACAAGGACGATGTCAGGGTTCTGAGGGCAGCAATGGTAGACACAGAGTGCCAGTGGACACTGGGACCTAGATGTTCCGCCCCACAGTACTTAGTTCCCTTCCCAGAATTCTGTTCTCCTCCACCTCCCCCAGCAGCCTCTTCAGCTCTTATACCTCCCTCATAAACTCCCATTCCTCCCAAATACGCAGGTGTTTGGCCTTCTTAGTCCATAACCCTCTTTCCTCTAACTCAACTTCTTTCCTCTCAGAGCCCAGTCTTTCTTCTCTCCACTCCCTCTTAACTGCCCAAGAATCTGACTCCCCAATCCCCTCAATACCTGTAGCAGCCAGTAACAGCGACGATGGAATGTGGGAACAATGGAGGAGTGAACATAGCAGCCATAGAGACACTGCCAAGAGATAGTTGGAGGGGAAGGCTGCTTCCCACCTCTTCTCTTTAGTCCCTTTCAAATGACTTGTCTCCCCCATGAGTCCTGCCCCCTCCCCCCATAAACCTAGGTTCCCCCTAAATCCAAATAACACAGAGTCAAGGGGAAGAAAAAAAAGAAGGGGGTGAGGTATTCAGGACTTTTAAAGTGGAATCTTCTAGGAACATCCATGAGATAGGTATTGGGACACTGAGAATAGGAGGGGTGGCAAAAGCTATAGTTGGGACTCA